TATTACCAAAAGATACATACAAAAATCTAGAATCTTGGTAACAGTGTTGAAATATACCCAAATACCCATGAATTCAGTAGAATGAATTTCCAGAATGTCAAATAGCTGGAATCACACTATGAGCCTTTTCAGAGTGGCATCTGTCACTTAGTAACAGATTCTTCCATGTCTTTTCATGGCTTGATAGCTCATTTCTTTTTTAGCACTGAATAATATTCCACTGTCTTGATGTACCACAGTTTATTCACCTACTGAAGCACATCTTGGTTGTTTCCAACTATTAGCAATTATGAATCAAGCTGCTGTAAATATCCGTGGGCAGGTTTTTTGCGAACATAAGTTTTCAAGTCCTTTGCGTAAATACCAAGGAGCACAATTGCTGGATTATATGGTAAGCGTGTATTTGGCTTTGTAAGAAACTGCCAAACTTTCAAAGTGGCTATACCATTTTGCATTTCTACTAGCAACAAATGAGAGTTCCTGTTGTTCCATATCCTTGTCGCATTTGATGGTGTCAGTGTTCTGGATTTTGGCCATTCTATCATAATAGGCGTGTAGTGATATAATAGTATCTCATTTTTTTAATTTCCAATTTCCTGATGAAATATGGTGTGGAACACTTATTTGCCATCTGTATCTCTTCTTTAATGAGGTGTCTGTTCAAATCTTTGCCCGCTTTTTAATAGGGTTGTTCATTTTCTTTTTGCTGAGGTTTAAGGGTTTGTATATTTTGGGCAACAGTCCTCTGTCAAATTGTCTTTTGCAAATACTTTCTCCCCGTCTATGGTTTGCCGTCTTTTTATTTTTAATTCAGTTCTGCCCACCCACCCCCCTATGCTTTGATTCTTCCTTCAGCCTAGGTGGGCTAACATCTCTTCATATTTTTTCATGTCTGTTCTAGCTCATTCAGACCAATAAGCTGAAACACTACCCCAGTATCCATGGAGACTTCAGCAATGATTTCCGACAGCCATGTGTGGTGTTCACTGGGCACCCTTCCCTGCGGTTTGGGGACGTGGTCCACTTCATGGAGCTCTGGGGAAAATCTAGTCTCAACACTGTCATATTCACAGGTAAATTAAAAAATAAGCAAACCTCGGCCCTTTCCACTGGGGCCGCTAGCCCAGGGATGGATTTTATAGTAAATATGATCCTTGCTTTATTGTAAGTACCAAAGAATAAAGACACCCCAAGGCAAAGCGTAAGAGTGAAACAACATACTGTTAGATAACTGAGTATTAAGGCTTTCATATCTGTTTTCTAAGCTTTTTCTCTGAGACAGAATTCGCCTGAACTGCCTTTTGATAGGGATTTTGTAAGCCGTCTCAAGAACTGCAGTAATTCCAGTAACCAGTCTTGTTTTACCCTTTAGGAATTATTTACTAAGATGTATCTTTCTGCTTTGATTATAGTTTACTGTGGCTACAGTTTTTCTTCTGGAGACAAATCCCTCAGGGAAAAAAAAATTCTTTAATAAGCCCAAGTAGGGGGTTTACTTAGATAATCACTACATTATTTTATTGATTTAAGGTCAGCCTCAGTCAGCCTTAAGTTTTAGAAACCTTATGTGCTATGAAGTAAAAAAAAACCTTGATCTGGCCCAACTTGCTGTAACCTGAGCCATGTCACTCCTCGAGCCTCGCTGTCCTTGTAAATGAGATTGTTGATAAGCACCTCTGTGGGTGGCTCTGGACATGTGATGAAACCCCGTGTGTGAGCACTTAGTACAGCGCCTGGCACCTAACGGCTGTGGAGGAAGCATCGGCCACATTCTCCCATCTTAGCATTTTCTAAATACTTTTAAGACTTGGGTTTTGGGGCCGGGCGCGGTGGCTCACGCCTGTAATCCTAGCACTCTGGGAGGCCGAGG